TGGACTCCACTCCAAGATATCTACCCAAAATAAAAAATGTCCAATTCTTGTACAATTATAGAAACATTTTAGTCACAACAGACCAAAACTGGGAAACAGCTGAGATGTCCAACAGAATGGATAGACACCATCAAGTATACACTGGGATTCTCTGCAACAAAAAAATTAACTACCCACAACTATATGGACAAATCTCAAAAACATGCTGAAAAGTGGCTAGACCCAAAGTACATTCATGTAGGACTTAACTTATATGAAGTTATTGAAATACGTAGAAATATCCTCTAGTGATAGAAACCAGGTCAATGTTGCTTCTCTGGAGGTGGGAGATGCTATTGACCAGGATAAAATTGTTCTGGACCTGGTTATGGCTGAGGTTATTTACAGAATAATATTTAGGCCCTTTTCTGCCATCCTAATACTCATCTTTTCCACGTGTGGTAAGTTCTGAGCAGCTGGCTACACCCCAAAGACAATACCCTGTATTTTAGGTGCCAGTAATGTGTTTATAAGACTCAGGTAATGGAAGCTGCCTCGGTAGCCTGGCCCATGTCACAAATCTAAGAACATGTCAGCCTATATTTACAGGAAACCTTAACATACACTAATCACAATCCTCCAATTCAACTTTAGTTAGCTCCCTTACCCTAGATAACTGGACTTGGCAATACCTCAATCCATGGTTTTCCCTTGAATAAAGGACAAATACTACACTAAATTGTTCTGGCATTAAGCACCAGGAGTCAGATGTATATATAAGAGTAGATAGAGCTGACAAAGTTGCCAGTACAGAAGCACATCAATCATGTGCTGGTTTAACAGCAATGCTGGAGGACTCAAACACAAGTGGGATTCACTGTCAAACTGAGTTTCCTGACCAATTTTCCCAAGAGTTAACAAAGATTAAAAGCACTACAGTACATATTTACTATTTTAGTTCTTAGTTTTTTAGTGTTACTGTCATTTCATTTCAGGGTAAGGATTATATGAAACCATCCAAATGACCTTGATGCCTACCTACAGCTCACTCCCCAATTAAAGGAGGCCTAAGTCACAGCAACAGGCCACCTCAGTGATTATGTTCCTTAATAATTACTCAAGTGCCAACAGTGGATGAGAAGTTTTGGGGAATGGAAGATGCTAATGTCATACTTAGAAGTCTAAATAAACTCCTTATTGCAAAAAGAACCCAGGGCCACAAAAATGCATATTAAGTTTTATTAAGTTTCGAATACAAAATATTCCAAAAGAGAAAAGTGATCTTATAATACCCACATTCTATATCCATACAAACAAGAAAAACACTACCATTGTTTCTTTTACAACCAGTACAAAGCCAGAAATATCAAGACCAATTCTTTTCCAATGAGAACAGAATTAAGTCTGCTAGGTCAATCTATTTGCCAAACAGCTATCTGTTCATTTAAGCATACTTTCTAATTTGAATTTAGTATTGATACTTACTATGATTAATCTCAATGTTCTATACTATCTTCAAGATATCTAAACAAAATCTCAGGAGTCAAAAGCATAAACCCAAGTAATTTAGATTACAGGACTGAGGAAGACAGTTATGTATGTGCAACAGCCATTTGGTCAATACCCTCATGGTGTGTGATTAAGAGCCTATCAAATGAGGGTTCCTTTTTTTTAAAATTTTATCTCACAATTGTAAAAGCTGGACATGACAGTACTGTTATTTTACTATACAAAAATTCTCAAGTTGAAACTCAAATCTGTTTCCTTTGAGAACACTAGCTCTTATTCTTTTGGCCCTAGTCTCCAACATAACAAAGTTATATTTTGATTTGTTTCTAAGACAGGAGGTGGGATCAAGTAGGCTAACAAAAACACAGTTAAAAAAAATAGCCAGCCAAGTGGCACAATTTTGTTTCCAGGTTTTAAATGTGCTTTTGATCATTTTAGGCATGTTTTCACTTACTTTAGTTTCTAGATATTACTCTTTCCTTTAGTTTTGTATTACAACTAAGCCCCACTTCTGGATAAACAGGAGAAAGCATTTCACTTGCTGAAAATGAGACACTTGACTGGATAGAGGTACTGCTGATGCCTTTCATTATTTTTATTAACTTTCTGACATTGATAATTAGGAAGTTTTAAGTTAAAAGTTGTTTCTACGACTTTAGCTAAACAAAATGAAAGCCAAACTTATAAAATCTACATAGAGAACAATAAGAACTTCCTCACTACCCCTACTTACTAACTTCTTTAATTGCTCTTTTTCCATCTGGTCATTATTACTTATTTTAAGTAACTACCACTCCCTAGTTAAGAGTGCTAACCAACATTGATGCCTTCATCAGACCCACAGGAGCCTTTGAAGATACCAAACCAATTCTGATGAGCACTGCTTATGCAACTGCTGTGCCTTATCCAATCAGCATTCTTCTGCTTCAACAACTCTGTAAAATGAAAAGCATGATCAGGTCAGTTACTCACCCCCTTACCTATTCTTTAAATACACACTATTTTGTTGCTTTAACTGTGCATTTGCTTTACATTTTAAGCTCTAAAAAGCAACCATAAATACCCAGTACAATTCCTGTAAGCATCACCTTGGTATTATCAAGACTGTAACTATCATTATACCAATAAAATTGTTACTCGAACTGGGAACTTAATAGCAGGCTGCATCTAGTCTTCCTTTAATGGATTTGTACTGTATACTGCCAACTATCAGGCACTGATAATACACAGTACTTCTTACAAAAGGCACAGGAACAAGTCCAAAGCTCAAACAAGGGAAGTTTGCTCACGCCAAAACAAACTGTACATCTCCAGTCAACAACTGCTTATGCAAAACAGTACTAGCACATTTTATACATTCAAAAATAGCGAAGAGCCACCCTGACCAGTTTGGCTCAGCGGTTAAGAATGTCGGCCCAGCCCTGGCCCATTTGGCTCAGCGGTTGGAGCATTGGCCTGGTCTGGAGAGACCCGGGTTCGGTTCCCGCTAAGGGCATGTACCTCGGTTGCGGTTTATCCCTAGCCCTGGTTGGGTCGTGCGGGTGGCAACCACTCGATGTGTCCCTTCCACGTCGATGCTTCTCTCTCTCTCTCCCCCTCCCACTCTATCTGAATAAAATATCAAAAAATGTCCTCGGGTGAGGATAAAAAAAAAAAAAAGAATGTCGGCCCATAGATCAAAAGGTCCAGGTTTGATTCCTGGTCAAGGGAACAAAGGCATATACCTAGGTTGCAGGTTCAATCCCTGGCCCAGTCAGGGTCATGTGGGAGGCAACCAATCAATGTTTCTCTCCCTCCCTCCCTTCCACTCTCTCTGAAAAAGAAAAAATATCCTCAGGTAAGGATTAACTTAAAAGAAAAAGTATTACAGCCCTGGCCGGTTTGGCTCAGCGGTTAGAGCATTGGCCTGCGGTCCGGAGAGACCTGGGTTCAATTCCCACTAAGGGCATGTACCTCGGTTGCAGTTTGTCCCCGGCCCTGGTTGGTCGTGTGGGTGGCAGCCACTCGATGTGTACCTTTCACGTCGATGTTTCTCTCTCTTCCTCTCTCCCTCCTATTCTATCTGTGCAAAAGATGGAAAAATGTCCTCGGGTGAGGATAAAAAAATAAAAAAGAAAAAAAAAAAAAGAAAAAGTATTACAGAACTGAGACATAATGGAAATATGCCAGAGTTTAAAATAACTTCAACCTATATTCAAATCAATAGTCCATATTCAAGGTGTTGCACATTACAACACTTAACTTGATCCCCCTTTTACAGATGTGCCAATATCCCAGCCATGCAGTGGCAGAGCTACAGTATTTAAACCTATAAAAGCCACTGCTTTAGAAACTTACCATAGCATTTGATTTCTCTTGCTGCTAGCTTTAGTCAGCTCTATCTAGTGTGAATAAATCAGCAGTCCGTGACCATAATCCTCAACCTGTAGAAATTAAATAGGTAACTAGTTATCTCTCTTCAGGAAATTCTTCAAAACTTGCCTATAACTTACTGCCCCCTTTGCCAGAAAGAAAAGGCAAGTTCAGACTTGCAGCTTAAGGTATTTCATGTTCTACTACTTCTCTTAAGTGGTGGAAGATTCACTGGCTTGGGATGGACTGGAATGGCTTAAATGGTTAAGTTGCATGGCTTATGGATTCTCATTCTGTTCCAAAGGTGCACTGCCATGTTAAATCCATAAGTTGAACGGACAAAACTTATTTGAAGGAATGAGTGCAGTACAAGGATTTTTAGTTGGAGGTCTTCAAGTTTACTATATTCAAGAGCATCTTTTTCAACTTCGTGGCTGGACCTGGGTCATGCTGCCTCAGGTTTTGCTTTTTAAAGACCACTTGCAATAGATTTTCTCCATAGTGTAGTTTCACAGAACTAAAAACTAGTCAGGCATCCAACTAAATGTCAAGTTTGCAATGGCTTACAGGGGTAGGGAGAGGGGCACCCCAAATTTAAGCCATTTCCTATTTTGACTAAAAAACTAATTTGAAAAAGGTTAAAATATTAAGCATGTTTAAAGGTCTTCATCAAAAATACTTAAAAAGTTACCCCCTCCCAAGTCCCATGTGGCTATCGGTAAACAGCTGTATTAAGGCCTTTAAGTGTCATACATGCTTAAAAAAAAAAAATCCAAGAGTTGAATTTGGAGAACTTCTAATATGCTATGGTATACTTTGCTTTTCCAAGTTTTTTTTTTTAATCTAGAAAGCTTTTCCACTGTCATGAGGTACAGTATGTTTCACTGTACTATGAGGAAGTGTTCAATTTTGACTTAGACGGAAAAACTAGTTTGCTTTGCTTACCATCTTTGCTGTTTCACAGGCATTTGATGCTTTAAATCTGATGTGGAATGCTGATAGATTCACTTTTTAGAAGTCATAAGCCTTTGAGAAGTTGGAGATAACTTCATTGCTTATCTATTTTCTCCTTTGCAATCAAGCTGTTCCTTAAAAGTGAGACACTACAGAGTTGCAAAAATTTGAAACAGTAAGAGCAAGCACCGTTTGCAGCTTCATGGTTGGTTTTGGCCAAACTTTTTATTTAGTATTCTGTAGTTGCTTAACACACACTTAAATGGTCTTATTGGGGAAAGGGGAAAGGGGAGGTTCTTGTAGATTCCCAAAGAAATGTCAGAAAGGCAAAATATGGCCAACACTATCCATTTGTTTTGGGTTTACTGGGCGAATAGCACTTTCTTTACATAAGCATCTTATCTCAGGTTTTTCATACTGATTAACATTTGAGATTTCAGTTTGAAGACAGTATGATATCCTAAGAATAGCATACCCCAACCACCCTCTAATACAGCTAGCTTGTTTGTATAGGCAGAGGAATTCATCTCTCCATTTTAGATGGCTAGATGTTTGTAGATCTTAGAAGTTTTTGCCTCATTTACTGGGGGAAAAAAAAAGAAAGTGGCCTTTAGGGACACTTTTACTTGGAAAATTACAACACTAATACACAAGTCAAGCCTTAACACATTTAACATTTGCTTGTTGAAAGCAATGTCATAAGATTAAACATGTTTCACTTTTTTCCTCACAAGAACATAAAAATTATGAAAGGGGGAACTTAACAGGAAATTTAAAAAAGGTAACACAAATTTTTCTTTTAGTAGTCCTTGGGTGGTTATGACAGAATAGGTTCCACTTTTTGTTTTTCTTTGAACAGGGATTTTGGTCCAAAGTTTTGTTTTTAATATCTGCTTCTGCCTCCCCCTCTATCAGATCGGCTTCCTCCACGGCCACCACCCCTTGGTGCTCCGCGGCTTGAACTGCTGTAGGAATCACGTGGAGGAGGGTACCCCCTTTCCATAGAAGGGGGAAGCCCTCTTTCTTGTCTGCCAACCCGATCACGACCACTTGAGTAGAGATCACTTCGGCTGCTTGAGTAACTGTCTCGACTTCCACCATATCCGTCACGTGAGCTGCTGTAATCATCATAGCGACTGCTTCCACCATAAGATGGCGGGGGCCCTCGTGTAGGTGGAGCACTACGTGAGTTACCTGCAGGGTCAATGGTCAGGTAATATGGCAACACTATAAATTGTATATATACAACATTTAAATCTGAATTCACAGAATTTCTGTATTAAACTTTTACTTTCGCAACTGGGAGGTTTTAAACCGCCATTGCTGGCCATTAACAGGGATTTGCTCATTTGCTGAGATATGGAAATGGATTGGTTTTAATATTTGTTTGAAAAGACTGAAGACGATGTGTATTTCAAGAGGATATTCCAGACAGCTTGTTATTTTATAGTAGACACTCAGCCACTTTCCAGTGATAAGTTGCAATTTTGAACTGTAGACTTTCCTTCATATTGGAATGGTAAACATTTGATGTTGTTAATAAAATTTTTAAATTGTATTTTCACTGTTGGGGGAAAACACATAAGGCTGCCAATTTAAGCAAGCAAAATCCCCTCCAAAGCAAGCAAACAGCCTCAAAAAAAATAAAATAAAATAAACACCCACAAACAACAAAACCCCACAAACACAGGAAAAAAAAAAAACAAAAGCCCCTCACAAAACTAGGAAAAGCCCAGCTGACAGTTATCCCTTTAAAAGCAAGCAAACATCCCTTTAAAAGCAAGCACCACACAGCCTAGTAAACTGGCTCATGAACCTGAAAACTCAAGCTGGTGATATTCAAAGACACTAAACCAGTATCTTACCATAACTGTCATACGAATCCCTGTAGGAACCACTTGGATGATCTGAATAGTCACGATCACGACCATAGCCATCTCTATCACTAAATCAAAGAGAAAAACTTTTAAGCCCCAGAGCATCAACCTTTACAGCACTTTACCACAAAAGCATGGAAGTGAAGTTGTTTACCTATAGCCTCTTGATGGGTAGTCATCCCGTGAACTGGAATGACCATAATCACGATAAGTGTAATCTCTTGGTGGCGGTGCATAATCTCTTGTATCACGAGAGCTTGGGTAGTCCCTACTTGAATAGCTACAAAAACAAAAGTAACTTGTTTTATCCTTTTGATGAGCTTTCCCTTCAACAGTGTATTAACAAGACAAAGCTACTACATTTTTCTGTTACCTGTCTTTAGTAGAATATCCATCATCTCTTGGGGACAAATAAACATCTCTACGAGAAGGCAGGGGTTCCCTTCGAGGTGGGCCTCCATAACTATCTCTCCCACGTGATACAGGAGCTTAAGGAAAAACAATCATTATTAAAATATACCCAAAGAAAAATATTAAAATGTGAATTTACAGTCAGGCAATGAAAATAGTGATTCAATGACATATGACTTTTACTCTATGTACCTAGATCACTCGGAGTCCATAAGTCAGTTTTAAGCATCATTTTTAGGATTCACCTCTCAACCTTTTGCGTTATTGTGGTGGAATAGTTGCAAATGGAACATTTACCTCTCCCTCCCATTCCACTGCTGCTGCGAACTGGTCCTGAAGGAGCAGATCTTTTAGGAGGAGGACCCCCACTTCTGGGTGGGGGTCCTCTTTTTACTGGAAGTGGTCCCCTAGAAGAACTCATGTTAAAATTCATGGAATAGCCACCATCATCTACATTAGAATAGAAAAGAAAAATATGTTAATACTAAAGAATCAAGAAAAGGCCATAAAAGTTCTTTGCTTGATCAAGGATATTTGTTTAATTGGGGAATCTTGTTTTAGTTTTCACTTATACAAAACTGAGCATGAAGTCTATGTAGACTAGCAAAATGAAACTAAAGTTATAGTCTTAGTTACTTCAAAGGAAAATAAAATTGTTCTATTTTCATATACCCAGATATTCCTGTCAAAAATTTTCTGCAAGTGTTTTTTTTTCCCTAGAGTTAACTTCTTGGACAAAGACTAGTGTATTTGCCATCATTTAAAAACACTGTATATAATTTAACTTAGGATGTGATGCCCTGTTTCCAAGTCACTACCAGTTTGGTAGATGAGCATGTGTTCTCAATTTCAAATGCTGGAGCCTTTAAACAAAGACTTAATCAATGCAAACACAAGTGAGGCAGACCCAAGTCATTACCCATGTGCCCTCCACGTGAGGGAGGTCCCCTGGTTCCTCCACTTCCTCCTCTACCGCCTCTAAGACCTCTTGGAGGGCCTCTGCTTCTTGGAGGTGGAGGTGGTCCACGTCTACCACTTTCAAATGATGGTTTAGTGGCTTGTTCTACCTTGATGGCTTTTCCATCTAAGGACTAAATAATATCAAGGTGGTTAATTACATCAGTATTTTAAAAAACTTGCAGATCCACTACACACTGGGACACAAATGTTATTGAAAATGTAATTACAGGTAAATTTTGCTCACTAATTAACCTAAAATAGTCAGTGTTACTTTTATATTTACTTAAAATGCTTACTCGTCTGTAAGACTGATGATACTGATGATTTGTATCAAACAAGGTGGATTCACTACACTACTACTGGTGGGCAACGTTTTAAATCAAGACCAGATATCAACTTAAAACTAATAACCAAAAAGGAAAGTTATTTAAGCAGTTTATAAGTTCCAGATAAAGTAAAATATGCTTATTATAGTATAATCTCTAAATTTGGTTACAAAATTACAAAGGGCTATATTCACAGGGTATACCTAGAAAGATAAGACACTCATAAAATTCAACAGATGCCCTAGGCCAGACTTGGCTGACTGTGCCATTTGATGTACTAGGGAACACTACACATCAGTGTGCAGACAGCCTCACCTTTCCATTCATGTCTCTGGCTGCATCCTTAGCATCTGCTGGGCTTTCAAAGGTGACAAAAGCAAATCCTCTCGATTTGTTGGTTTCACGATCTTTCATCAAGAGTACTAAAAAAGGTCATTTTTCCAGGGGGGAAAAAAGTGTTACTCTACTTCTAGTGAATTAACAAAAGTAAATCTTTAAAAAAGAAAGCTCAGAACTTCTTAGAGGACAAAATACATAATCATTTCAAATGATCATTGCAATTAAATTCATCACAGCTTCCTTTTAATTACAAAATAGCCCTGCATATACTTGCAGATAAACTCACCTTCCACTATCCGTCCATATTTGCCAAATACTGCTTCAAGGGCTTTCTCATTTGTTTCTGTATTGAGGCCACCAATGAAAAGCTTTCCTGGGCGATCAGCTTCGACCATTTTCCTCCCTGGTGAGAGTCTATTGAAAAAACATATAGTATGTCCCTGGGAAAAGTTAATTCATCGAACACGCTTTATTGGGGTACATTTATTTTTCTTGTTTTACTGAAGCCGTTATCCCTTAATAACTAAAGACACCAAAAACGATCTTTTCTAAGCCTAAGCAGGAATCCCAAATTAGTTAAGCCATAGTGAAATTTCCATCAAACTGGTTAAAAGGACCAACTTAATTTATGCCTTCACCCTTAATCTACCCTGGCAGTTTTAACCAAGTAATGGCTATCCAACGTTTGAAAAGTTTTAGTTTTAATCCCATATCTGCAGCCTTTTAAAAACACACATCATAATGACCCTAAAGACTATCGACACGTTCAAGGTCACAGGCCAAACACAAGTCCTTAACACCAACCCTTCCTCCAAGAACTTTTGTATTTATCCTCATTAGAATTCCCTGGTAAATTTGAAGTTCGAGCCAAGTTATCCCTCCCCTTCTTCAACAGTCCCCGGCCCGCCGAAAATGTCACAAAAACTTCTGAAAATGTCTACATAATTTCATATTAAATACCGGAATGAGAAAACGCGCACTGGAACGCTCAACATTCCATGACTGCAGCAGAACCCCATTAAAAACCGCGTGGAAAACACAAAATGGCGACCCTTGGACTCAGCCCAGAACAACCGATACCAGTCAGAGAAGTAACTTGCACCATCAACATTGGCTGGGAAAATTCAAAGGGCTTCCTATCAAGGCCGCCAATGAACAAGGACCCCGCGTAAAAGTGCACGTGCCCATCCATAGCGCCGGCGCCATCTCAATGCAGGTACCGCGCTGGCGTGGTCTCTCCTCGTTCCGCTAAAACTGACCTCCGCCACCACCTCCGCAGGCCGCAGCCAAACTTTCTCGAGACGTACAACCAAATGGATCCGCATTCGTTTCCCTGCGACACTCTCAGCTGTATCTAAATAGGGCGGCATCTTCGGGTTCTTAAAATGGCGTCCGCCAGCCCCATCTCAAGAGAGATAATCGCAAATCCTAACATGGCAAGAGTGTCCGGAAAAACGAGAGAAGGAAAAGATACACGTACCGGAAAGGTGACGACGGTTTCAAGCTCCTACGAGCTCGCCAACAGGGCCTTCCTAGCCGCTGAGCACCAAGGAGGGCCGCCGGCTACAAAGACGGAAGAGAGAACCCGCTGGAACTGCTGCGCAACGAGGGCGAACAAAGGAGACAGCAAACTTTATACTGCCCGGGAACGAGGCTGAAGGACCCGGATGAAAACGGAGCTTAGAATTTGAAACGCAAGGGAGGGGGCGAGTAGTTCCCAGTCTCCCCATTGGCTGTCTTCTCTATCATTCACTCTTTGCTCCTCCTCGTTTCCGGGCCCTCAGCTCTTTGGCCCACGCCGGTTTCTAACCGTTTTCCCAGCCCCCACCCATACTCCACAAACTCGCGTCTTTGCTTTCCGCTAAAATGGTTCACGGGCTGATTTTAATAAAGTGTGGAAATTGTGTGTTTTAGTGAGCGGAGCATGTTGCTAAACTTTGACACCCCTTGTTTAATTCTCAAAAATAGTGTAATGAAGGTAGATACTCCTATGCCAGCTGTGCAGAAATAGAAAAAAAAAAAGTTTAGATAATAAAATATATTTTCCCAAAATATCTTTAACAGGAATATTTAGTGAATGGGTAAAATTCTGATAAATAAACATCAGGCAGGCTGGAGAAACATACAAAAATGCAGCAGAAAAACTGAACACCTAAATGGTAGGCTCTGGGCTTGGCCATGAGAATACAACCCAGAACAAGTGAGACAAGGGCAAGACACCTCCATGGGTAAGGCTGCCAGATGCAAAGAAAAATACAGGACGCCCATTTATGTTTGAAGTTCAGATAATATTTTCAGTGTAAGTATACCTCAGTATCATATACCAAAAAAAAAAAAACTTATTGTTTATCTGAACTTCAAATTTAACTGGGCATTGTGTATTTTATCTGCCAGTCCTACCGAGGGGATTGCAAAAATTAAAATTTTTCTAATTTCTTTAAAAAATAAAAAATAAATACAGGTAAATAAAAACAATTGCATGTTGTGATTGGTGCCGGGGAGGAAGTAAACTAGGTGTTCTGATGGACAATATTTTGGAGACCAAATTTGATTTAGACATCAGGGAAGGTCTATCTGAAGAAGTGAGTTTGGAGATCAGATCTGAAGGGAAAAAGAAACCAGCCATGGGAAATCTGGGGGAAGAGTTTTTCAGGAAGAGAAGAGAGCACTAAGCATAAAGCAGGTATCAAGGGATAAAAAGAGATTCAGGACGACAGGAATTTAAGGGTCATAAAATGAGGGAGTCAAGGTAGGCAGAACCTGTGAACCCATTAAAAGACTGCATGGCCTATCTGTGGAAACAGGGACACCACAGAGGTTGTTCAAACGGATTAGGAGAGAGGATGGTGACTCGAATTAAGGTTGTGGCAGTGGACTTGGCCTGTAGAGAACAATTGCTAGGTGCACAAGACAGGTAGTATGGACAGGATTTGCTAATAAAACAAATGGGAAAAGATGGGAGGTGGAATTGAGAGAAACAGGAAGGCATTAGCAGGTGATGGCCATTTACCAAAATGGTTGCACAGGAGTGAGTCTGGGAGGTGAAGGGTGGGAAATCTGATACTCAGAGATCAGGGTTAATCTTTCACTTTAGAAATAGTAATAAAGCCCATCTGAATGAATGAGGCCACCCCAAAGAGAATACAATGCAATAAGAAGGCCCAAGATCACACAATATGAAACACACACACACACACACCCAGATGTGGCCAGAAGTAGGTTTATAGTTCGTATGAAAAAACAATACAGTACTTAATAATACTACAAGAATACATTCTGTTTTGTGTACTCACAACTGTAAAGATTTGGCTCTGACTATCGTTGAAAAGTGGCAAAAACCACTTAAATGCCAGGTTCAGCCAGTAGAATCTGCACTCCCAGGTGAAACCAAGAAAAGTCCTGCTCCCTGGGCCACCATTACTCTCTTGCTCTGTCTCAGAGCAAGAACTACAACTGAAGGACTGCATGACTTTCCCTAAACTGTTAGTTTAAGCCAGGCCTCCATTAGTCTAGGACAGAACAGGGCCCACTATACAACAGATATCCCTGTCCCCCTGGGTCTCAAGAAGGAAATGTGTCTCCCTCTGGATTAAATCACTCTTGTCTTTGCAGTTAGTGTCCAGGAACGTGGGGGAAGGAGAATGAGAGTGTTCTAGACTGGAGGACAATAATTCCAAGGACCAGAAGAAGGAGGGAGAGGAAAGATGGCTAGCTGAGGTCATTGTAGGAAGGGTCATTATGGCTTTAGCATAGAGTCAGGACCCACAGGACAAAGAAGCTGGAGAGGGAGACAGAGGGCCTACTGACTAGATCAGAGAGCAATAAGGAGGAGAACCTTTTTTTTTTTCTCACTCGAGGACAATTTTTTTTTTTTGCATTTATCTTCAGATAGAGTGGGAGGGAAAGAGGGAGGAAGAGAGAGAGAAACATTGATATGAGAGAGACACATTGACTGGCTGCCACCCACACAACCCCAACCGGGGCCGGGGACCAACTGCAACCAAGGTACATGCCCTTAGGAACTGAACCCAGGCCTCTCTGGTCCGTGGACCGACGCTCTAATTGCTGAGCCAAACTGGCCAGGCAAGGGGAACCTTTTTTAAAAAATGTTTAAATAGCCCTAGTCTGTTTGGCTCAGCGGTTAGAGCGTCAGCCTGCGGTCCGGAGAGACCCGGGTTCGGTTCCCGCTAAGGGCACGTACCTTGGTTGCAGTTTGTCCCCAGGCCTGGTTGGGTCGTGTGGGTAGCAACCACTCGATGTGTCGCTTTCATGTCGATGTTTCTCTCTCTCTCTCTCCCACTCACTCTATCTGAACAAAATATCGAAAAATGTCCTCGGGTGAGGATAAAAAAAAAAAAATGTTTAAATATATTTTAAATTAAATTTATTGGGGTAACATCAATTAATAGGATTACATAGGTTTCAAGAATACATTTCTATGATACATGATCATTACATTGCATTGTGTGCCCACTACCCAAAGTCAAATCATCCAACTGATGAAAGAATAAACTGTGGTACATCCATACTATTGAATACTACTCAGCAATAAAACCAAAAGTAGTGTGCTAAGTAAAATTAGCCAAATGCAAAAGGCTACATACTGGATGATCCCATTTATATGAAATTCTGGCAAAAGCAATCTATAGGGATGGAGAACAGATTAGTGATTGCTAGAGTTTAGGGGGGATGGTTTTATTCCTAAAGGGTTGCACAAGAGAATATTTGGGAATAACAGAACTTTTCTGTATTTTAATTATGCCATGCAAGGTAATCAGATTTCATCTTAAAGAGATCATGGTGGCTGCAGTCTGGAGACTGTATTACATCAGGGTATAGTTTATGTAATCTAGGAGAGAGGACATGTGGGGAGCTGAGTGTGAGAGACTGGTCAACCTGCAGGCCAACAATCAGGTCTCACACTGCCCAAAACTAATCACTAAATCCCATTCCTCCTCCTCATAGATGGTCTAGATTTTCCCCTTTACTTCTTCCTTTCTTTGGATTATCGTTAAATATAGTTGGTTTCTCTTTACTATGACTTTTTCCTGAACATGTTGTTTCTCTCCAGATACCATCTCAATGATTGACTGAAAGACTGAGTCATGCAATATTACTATGCCACTAGGTATCCTTGGAATATAACTAGTGATAAATAAATGTTGGGTGAATGATTTGCAAGTCCTTTTTTGAAATCTTTATTTATTTATTTATTTATTTTGGTACATGCCCCTAGCAGGAACTGAACCCGGGACTCTCTGGCCCACAGGTCGATGCTCCAACCACTGAGCTAAACTGGCCAGGGCATCAAGTTCTTTTTATCCTCCATGAAACTTAGTATGAGATATGTACCTAGTAAATTAAATATTGAATACTAGTGGTCTTTAATCTGAATTTACCTGCAAAGGGCTCACTTTTTTATACTGAAACAAATAACAATTAAAAAAAAAAAAAGCATTCCATAGTTTTAAAAGCTTCAACCAATTAAATGATTAAGAAATATCCTTGCCCTGGCTGGTGTGCTCAGTGGCTAGAGTGTCAGCTCATGCACTGAAGGGTCACCGGTTCATTCCTGGTCAAGGGCACGTACCTGGGTTGCAGGTTCCATCCCCGGCCCCCAGTTGGGGCTCCTGTGGGAGACAACAAATTGATGTGTGACATGGATGTCTCTCTGTCTCTCTCTCCCTCCCTTCCACTTTCTAGAAATCAATGGAAAAAATATCCTCAGGTGATGATTAACAGTAACAACAAAATGTCTGTTATCTGGTATGAAGCAAAAGAAGGAAGGGAGGAAATAATTTTATGTAATTAAAGATTGGGACACTTACCAAACCACTTTAAGTAGCCGCTGCCTAAAAAATAGTCTACTTAACTACAACAAGCAAGGAATAAAAACTTTTTAATGAGCATGTTTGTATTCTCTATATAGAAACTGGCTAACAAATGAAGATATAATTCTACTGTATCTTTCTTCATAATGAAAGAGATGATGTGTTTTAACCAAACTTAATTTTTGATTAAAAGGAGCCCTGGCCAGTTTGGCTCAGTGGTTGAGCGCCGGCCTGCAGACCAGAGAATCCCAGGTTGAGAGTCCCAGGTTCAGTTCCTGCTAGGGGTACGTACCAAAAAAAAAAAAAAGGAACTGACGTATGCCAAACGTGTCAAGACAATTAAAGAGCCATTTAAAGAGAAAAAAATCTTGATTCATACCACACTTTTTACTCCAAAATAAATTCCAGCTCAAAGATTTAAATGTAAAAGTTAGATATTAGAATAAAAATGGGTAGATGCATTTGTAATGTTGTTATGAGGACCATCCATTCATTCATTCATTTAGCAAGTATTTATTCAGTGCCTACTATATGCCAGCAGTTTTAGGTGCTGCGAATAAATACATCAGTGAACAAAAACACAAAAGTCCCTGACTACCTGGAGCTAACATTTTAGTTAGGGGGGGATAGACAATAAACAATAAACCAAATAAATAAATAAATAATAAAGTATGTTTGAAGATGAAAAATGCTATGAAAGAAATAGAGCATAGTAAGCATCAAGGGTCAGGAGTATAGAAGGGGAAGCATGCAAAATTAAAAGGATCCATCAACTGGGCCCGTGTAGCTTAGTTGAGTGTCTTTCCATGTACCAATAGCTCACTGGTTTGATTCCCTACAGGTCAGGTGATATGATTTGGTTGTGGGCTCAATCCCCAGTAGGGTGCATGCAGGAGGCAGCCAAGTGATGTTTCTCTTTCATTGATGTTTCTCTCTCTCTCTCTCCCTTCCTCTCTCTCTCTAAAATCAATAAAAACATATTTTCAAAAGGGGGTTAAAGTTGGCCTCACTAAGAAGGCGAAATTGAAGCAATGATAGAGGAGGGAGTAGGTCATGTGGATATCTGGGGAAGAGCATGCCAGGAAGAATGAAGCATATCTGCTACCTGCTATGTTCTAAGAACAGCGAGTAGGTCGGTATGACTGAAACTGAATGAGGGAATGCAAGAGTAGTAAGAGATAAGGCTCTTAGGTAGCAGAGGGTCAGATCACATAGGTCTTTAAGGAGCAAAGACTTTACCTTTGTCCAAGAAAAAAAATAATTTTCCCTTTATGATTCTAGGCTCTTGTCTGAGAACCCCCTGTAATAAAGAACAGATTAACATGAGGAAATAAAGTTTAATAACGTATTTTTCCTGTATATATGGGAGAGATGCAGGAAAACATTGATTCCCCAAAATGATTCAGGCTATTACCTTAAAGGCCATCTCCAGCTAAAGACAAAAGAAGATTGGAGGAAGGGAGACAGTTATGGGAGGCTATCAGGAAAATCACAGTAATCAGGGTATGGTTGTTATGCAAACCTAAATCCTGGCCTTCTCCAGTAATGACAGTTTCCAGGGATTTGGTAATCCTCCTCTTCCTGCTATATAGAGGGAGGCAACCTTACAAATGGAGATTTCCCTGCAAAATGTAAATGTCCATAACAAAAAAGCAACATATATCCCTGGCCAGTTTGGCTCAGGGGTTGGAGTGTCTGACTGTGGACCGGAGAGTCCCAGGTTCGGTTTCTGCTAGGGGCACATACCAATAGATAAAGAGATTAATAAATAAATAAATTTTTTTTAAAAAAGAGCAACATATATTGAAGTTTCAGAGTTTTTCCTGTGTCTACTGTTTCTTAAAAAAAATCAGCTCCAAATCATCCTTATGCCTAAGAGACTTATTTTGGGGTGACAAATTCTGCTCCCTTTCATCTTTTACTATGATTGAAATCAGGAGCCACTGGAGGGCCTTTAGCAGAGATATAGCATTACCAGTCTTACCTCATAACAGGATCACTTTGGCTGCTGTGTCCAGGATACACTGTAGACAGCAAGGTTGAAAGCAGGGAAGTGAACCAAAAGATTATTGTAATAGTGCCCTAAGTTGATGGCAGTGGAAGTGGTGAGAAGTTGTCGGATTCTGAACATATTTTGAAGGTAGAGTCAAAAGAATTTCCTGACACAAAATCCAGATGACGTGAATAAAAAAATTGATTCATTTGACTATAAAAGCATTTCTTCATTCTCATACTGCTTTGATAGCTCATTCTTTTCAAGTGGACCTTTAAATATTAGTTTTTTTTTTTTCAGTCCTTTTGCTAGACTCTCTTGTGTTTTCATTCTATCCTCAATCCTAAGTAAATGTCATACATTCCTAGTGTTGTAGACCAATGAGACAGACCAGACTCAGACTCCGAACTGGGTTCAAATTAAGAGACCTTTATTAGCCGCGTGGCAACTGTCTCATGCTACACAGAGGAGAGAGCAGCCCCAAGCTCAGGGGGTGGGTTGCTTATATAGTTGTCTTAGCCCCTGTTAAGGAATTTGGATTAAGGGTATGCGAGCAAGCAAGCACATACAGAAGCACATATTTGCAGTTAGCTGTTATGCCTGAGGGAACAATCAGTTTCTGTGTACACAAAGCAATGGTTATCCATACAATGCAGTGGTTATCTATTAGCAGATAGTTCTTGCCATTCCCTTAAAATCCAGGGGGCAAGGTCATGTGTTTGTCCTTTACATTCCTCACTGGTGTTAGGGTTAAATCAAATCTTTGATTCTAAAGTGTCTTCAATTTCTTCCATTGTGGCTAGCCTCTGACAGGGAGTGCTAAGAACCATGAACTTAACAGCCTGTACTTTTTCTCTAAAAAAAATGCATTAAGCGATTAATTAGGATTGGGCCACAAGTTAATATTAATAGGAGGAGGAGTAAGGGGCTCGCAAGGCCAATGATAAGAGTAGTGAACCATGGGGACCAATTAAAGAGGTTCTCATACCAATTTTTAGAGGTGGACAGAGCCTGTTCTCGTTCATCTAGTCACTATCTAACTAATTTTATGCTTTCTCTAATAATACCAGATTGGTTAGCATAAAAGCAACAGGTTTCTCCTAAGGCCAAACAGAGAAGAAATAAACTTGTGGAATAATGTTAGCAAAAATACATAAGTCTTTGGTTCCAACGGAAAAGACACAGGGAGTCAGTCCTGAGGCGCAAGCAAACCAAGTCCCGGGGGGTGCAGTTGGGACCCAAGTCTCTTGTGATGAGAGGCTTAATGGGGTTAGGGTAGTAGTGTCCCCACATGAGTCTGCATAAGGGGAAGAGCTTAGGTCATAGTTGCCAATGATGAAGCATGTCCCCTGTCCTTGTAGGACTCCGAGGTCAGGTGGGGGCCTGTACCTTCATAGCAGTGGCTGCCCTTGAGTGCATCTAAATTGGGTAGGTGCTTTACTGGCAATCAGAGTCTGGAAAGAGACTAGGAGGAAACCCTGGAGAGCTTTATCTTCAGGGGATCTTTGGTCCCCTGGAAGGCCCATTGTTTAGGTATTTGCTCAGGGTGTGCTTTCTTTACCCGAGTGTGGTGAATCCCAAATTTCCATCCTGATATTTTCAGAGCAGTGGGCATAGTCAGGATAACAGGAAAAAGGCCAGTCCAGCGAGGCTTGAGGGAAGCAGGCTGATGTTTCTTGACCCAGACCCAGTCACCAGGGGTGAAGTCGTGTGGTGGTATCTGGGGTGTCCCCAGTTGGGGTCTGGTGTCCTTGATTGGCTGTCAGGTCTGTTCTCTCAGCCTCTGGATTGCCTGCAAAGAGCTGAGGAAGTTATGGTTACCTAGGTTGGCTAAGACCTTGTCCCCAATTTGGGGTACAATAGGGGGAGGTTGGCCAAACATGATTTCAAATGGGGTGAAACCCTTAAAATAAGGGGCACAGCGCACATGAAGGAGGGCAAAAGGAAGGAGCCTTACCCAGTTATCGCCCGTCTCAAGGTGGAGCTTAGTTAACATTTCCTTTAATGTCCTATTCATTCTTTCTACCTGTCCTGAACTGTGAGGCCTGTAGACACAATGCAATTTCCAAGTAATCCCTAAAGCTTTAGCTAACAATTTTGTGGTTTTAGCAATGAATTCTGGGCCAGTGTTGGACCCCAGAGCTAGCAGGATGCCAAATCGGGGGACTATCTCAGAGAGCAGTAACCGGGCTGCCGTGGTTGCAGTTTCAGTCTTGGTAGGAAAAGCCTCAGTCCAGCCAGAGTAGGTATCTATGAAAACAAGCAGATATTTATAGCCATATTGGCCAGGGGTGGCCTCAGTAAAGTCAATTTTCAAGTGGTCACCAGGAGCTGTGCCTCGTTCTCGAGTCTCGAGGTCTGTTGTTTCCCAAGGGTGAGAGTTGACTTGGGCACAGGTAGGGCATCTCCTTATTTCAGATTCTATCCATCTGTTGAGGTTTAGAACATAAAAGTCCCAGGCTATGAGACTGGAGAGTGTAGTCTTGCCAAGGTGGGTGCCCTGATGGAGCTGAGAGAGCGCTCTCAGCCCAGGGCCGCAGGCAAGAGGATCCTCCCTTCGGAGAGAAGCCTCCAGCCTCGAGGCCCCTGGTTACAGTTGAGCCTTCGTCCAAGTTCTTCCTCCTCTTGGGTATAGGAGGGCTCCTTGCGGAGGCTTTCCCCTAGAAGGGCTGGAAGGATCTCCAGTAGCCCCACTGGTCTTAGGGCAGCCTCCTTGGCTGTCTGATCAGCAAAGGCATTCCCCTTAGCTTCAGGGGTGTCGGAGTTCTGGTGGCCCTGGCAGTGGATAATAGCCACTTTTGTTGGTAGCCAAATGGCCTCTAAGAGGGCAAGAATTTCTTCTTTATTTTTTTATCTGTTTCCCTCCTGAGGTTAGGAGTTCCCTTTCTTGGTAGAAGGCCCCGTGGACATGGGCTGTGGTGAAGGCATAGTGGCTGTCAGTGTAGATGTTTACTGACTTGCCTTTTGCCCATCTTAAAGCCTGAGTGAGAGCAATTAGTTCAGCCCTCTGAGCTGAAGTCCCGTGCCCTAGTGCCTGGGCCCAGATGACCTTGTCTTGTGTGACCACTGCCACTCCCGCATATTGGACTCCTTCCCGGATGAAGCTGCTCCCATCTGTATAGAGAGCATGCTCTGGAGTTGGGAAAGGGTTTTCAGTTAGGTTAGACCTCAGGTTAGTTAGAGTCTCAAGAATGTCTGAGCAATCATGAAGGGGAGCCTGAGGGTCATCGTCAGGTAGCAGGGTGGCCGGGTTGAGGGCAGAGGTCTTCAGCAACTGGATTCGGGAGGAGTCAAAGAGGATTACCTGGTATTGGGAGATCAGGGCATTAGACATCCACCGATCTGGAAGGCTCCTGAGGAGAGCCTCAACAGAGTGTGCCCCAATAATCTGGAGGTCTTGCCCTAGGGTTAGCTTGGATGCTTCTTTAACTAAAATAGCAATAGCTGCTATGTCTCGCAGGCAGTTGGGCCAGCCAGAGGCTACCGAATCTAATCTCTTAGACTCTTAGATAAGTAGGCAACTGGTCTCTTCCAGGGCCCTAATGATTGGGTTAGGACTCCTTTGGCAATGCCTCCAGTCTCAGAGACGAAGAGCTAAAAGGGTTTAGCGATATCAGGCAGAGCTAGGGCTGGTGCAGACCTTAAGGCCATTTTCAGTTTCTCAAAGGCCTGTTGTTCTATCTCAGTCCAGATTAAGGCATTGTCCTTTCCCCCTGTGCTGGTATAGAAATGCTTAGCGATCTTGGCAAAGCTAAGGATCCAGAGGGGGCAGTACCCTACAGCCCCAAGAAATTCCTGAGCCTGTCTCTTGGTCGTGGGGGTAGGGATTTTTTTTTTTTTTATCCTCACCCGAGGACATTTTTCGATATTTTTTTCAGATAGAGTGGGAGGGAGAGAGAGAGAGAGAAACATCGACGTGAAAGTGACACATCGAGTGGTTGCCACCCACACGACCCAACCAGGGCCGGGGACAAACTGCAACCAAGGTACGCGCCCTTAGTGGGAACCGAACCCAGGTCTCTCAGGACCGCAGGCCAACGCTCTAACCGCTGAGCCAATCCGGCCAGGGCAGGGGGTAGGGATTTTTATGACCACCTCTATCCTGCTATTGGAGCGCGACCGTTTTCCTTCTTTGAGTTCATAACCTAGGTAGGTCACGGTGGTGGTGCATAATTGAGCTTTCTTGGCTGAGACCCCATACCCTAACTGTTCTAGCTCTAGAAGGAGTGCCTTCGAGGCCTCCTCACATTCAGGAAGAGAAGCGGCTGGTAGAAGCAAATCATCTACATACTGTAGCAGGGTGACATGTTGGTACATTTCCCAGAACAGTTGAAGGTCCTTGCTTAAGGCTTCAAAATGCCAGCTTCTCTGAGTCTATTAATATGTCTAGTTTGGCTTTTATGGAGATCGGGTATTGGCAGATGAGGTCCTTAGGTTTCTGTTGGGCCCCCTTCTTAGGGCAGTCCTTTTTCCAATGACCATATTCTTTGCAGTAGGCACATTGGTTAGGGTCAAGAAGTGGCTGAGATTGTTGCCTAGGTCTTTGTGGGGTTGGCCCTATGTTTTTAGGCCTATTTCCCCATTGCCCTTTTTGATTCTCTTGAAGAGCCGCTATGATTACTCTTGTGACTTTTTTTGTACTGACCCTTTCTGGGTCGTCCTGGTTATTAAATACTCTCTGAGCTATTTCAACTAATTCACTAAGATTCTTTCCTTCAAAACCCTTTAATTTCTGCAGTTTCTTCCTAATGTCTGGGGCCGACGGGGTGACAAAAGCAATATTAATTGCCTGTCTATTCTCAGGGGCCTCCGGGTCTAGGGGAGTAAAGAGGCGATAAGCCTCCATGAGACGTTCAAGAAGGGCCGCTGGAGATTCCCCTGCGGTTTGAACAGTCTCGCTTACCTTAGACAGAGTAGTTGGCTTTTTGGCTGCTCCGCAGAGGCCCTGAAGTAGAGATCGGCGATACTAGTAGAGATTATCTTGATCAGTGTTCGGGTCCCAATTGGGTTGGGTACTTGGGAGGTAGGCTTCTATTTGGGCCAGATCTGTGAGGGGTTGGCTGTCTGGCCCAAGGATGGATTTTGCTGCCTCTGTGGATCCTGTTCCTCTTCTTGGAGGTGAACAAGACCTGCAACAATTGCTGACAGTCATCCCAAGTGGGCTGATGGGTATGGAAGACTGTCTCTAGGAGAGAGATTAAACCTTGGAGTTTATCAGAGAAGGAGGGGTTCTGTTGTTTCCAGTTATACAGATCGCTAGTTGAGAAGGGGACATAAAGCATGAAGGGCCGAGTCTGGTCTCCACCTGGTGGTGAAGCAACCTGACGGAGGGGCAGGATGGCAGCCGAGGAGTCTGGCGCCTGTGGAGGAGGGTTAGAAGGGGTGCTGCCACGTGTATGGGAAGGACTGAGTGGCTGAAGGGCTTCAGCAGGTGGCAGAGACCGATTAGGGGGTGGCTCCACAGGGTCAGTGAAGGGGTCTTCTGGGGGACCTGAAAGAACAGGGTAAAGCCTTTGGGAGGGAGTAGAATCCGAGGGCTTCTGAGGCTTCTGCGGAAGCTGGGCAATTAAAATTTTCTCCCTATTAGGGCACAAATATTTCTTAATATAATTAGGCTTGTCAGTAGCTAGGTCAATCCAAACATTGATGTAAGAAGTTTGGTCTGGGTGTCTGGGAGTCCCGTAGATGATGCCTCAAACTGCAAACAAAGAGCTTAAGTCAAAAGTGCCCTGGGAGGGCCAATTGACCCGGAAAGTGGGCCACTCCAATTCGCACAAAGTGCGCAAGAATCCAGGGTCTGCTGAGATGCTATAACCTGAAGTGCGCTTGGAAAAGTCTGAGAAGTTATTAAGGAGACATTGAAGAGAGGGTCCTAGGTCCTGAAGGTCCTTGACCCATTCTGAAGAACATAGGCCGGCACAGCACAGAAACATACAACACAAAACACAAAAGGACAAACAAATAAGACAGAAAAAAAACGAGACAAACCAAACTGGGGCCAAGAGCGACGTCTCACTATGGCCCTGGGGCAGGATCTCTGTGCTGCGTCCAGCAGATCTACTTCCCCTCACTCTGCAGAGTTTTCAGAAACAGACTTACCTGAATGATATCCCGTCTGCCAAACCGAACCTGGGCCCAGGGTTTCCAGATGCTCTCTAGATGGATTTTGGAGTGGAGACAATTCCCAGGGCAGAATGGCATCTGGGGCGGAGGAACATCTTCTCGGAGGCCTTCCCCCAGACCACCTGTCCGCTCCTGGGCTGGACCTGTCTCCCGGAGTATGAGGAGGTCAACCTGCCAATGTGGGGGACCTTGTTTGTCTATCTCGCTGGGGCCTCCGAATGTTGTAGACCAATGAGACAGACCAGACTCAGACTCCAAACTGGGTTCAAATTAAGAGAGTTTATTAGCCGTGTGGTGACTGTCCCATCCTACACAGAGGAGAGAGCAGCCCCGAGCTCAGGGGGTGAGTTGCTTATATAGTTGTCTTAGCCCCTGTTAAGGAATTTGGATTAAGGGTGTGCGAGCAAGCAAGCACATACAGAAGCACATATTTGCAGTTAGCTGTTATGCCTGAGGGAACAATCAGTTTCTGTGTACACAAAGCAATGGTTATCTATACAATGCAGTGGTTATCTATTAGCAGATAGTTCTTGCCATTCCCTTAAAATCCAGGGGGCAAGGTCTTGTGTTTGTCCTTTACACTAGGGTGTTCCCTATGTTAAATATACCTATGACTCCTATGTCAAATCTCACCATTGTACTTCTCAGTGTGCATATCATCACACTTCCTGTCTGACATTACCACTTGGCTGCCTCAAATACATTAACACATTGCCTTGTCAAATATGTATTGGGTACCTATTATGTATTAGCCACTATGGTAGAGACTGTTGTATATTGGTTGAATAAAATGGACTTGGTCCCTGTCCTCGTGAAGCTGACATTCCAGTGAAAGTCTGTGTAAGAAAATAATAAAACAAAATTTAAAAATAATGAAAACTGCTATGAAGAAAACAAGTTGTAATAGAAAATAACAAGAGGACCCCGGTGGCTACCCAAGTTGAGGTGAATCTGCGGGAGCCGCTGCTGTCCTTACTGTCCGCGCCGTCCCTACCGTCCCCTCCACTGTCCTGTTCCCGTTCCTGCGCGGCTCCCCCACCAGCCAGGATGCTGGAGGAAGTGGGCGAGGTGCTGGAGAACATGCTGAAGGCGTCCCGCCTGCCGCTCGGCTTCACCATCTTCCTGCCCGCCACCATGTTGTTAAGGGTGGCGCTGCTGCTGCTCACTGCCCATGCGGCACGAGTTCACCGCCTAGTGGATGCAGCAGTACGACCTGTAGGGGCAGCGCTATGGTGTGTGGACCCTGACCTCCCTTCTGGACCTTCCCTGGGTCCCCGCCTCTCTCAGCCTCTCCTTCATCCCACCGGTTGGCTTCTGGCCCAGCTGGCGTCCTCAGCCTCCAAGCCGAGGTGCCCTCTTCCGTCAGCCGGGTCTTTGCTCCCTGGATTCTAGGACCCTCCGCTCCAGCCTATCCAGCTGCCAGACCCTTAACTAGACCCAGGCAAGTCAGAGCCTGGATACCTAGACCTCCACTAGGTCCCCCAGCTCTCTTCTCAGTGCCCTAGGAACCACCCCCCAACCCCACCTGGAGCTGGCTCCCACATCTTCCAGTCCCTGACAAGGGCTACCTGTCTCAGAACCCTCAGACTCTCAGGCCAAGCACCCCTTGCTCCTAGGCCCCTGGGTCACCTCCAATTACCAGCTGGGCCAGAGTTGCGTTGCACAGGCTCCCTCCCCTGGACACCACCCTGGTGCCCATCATCACTGGGTCATGCTCTGGACCCAGAGCTTCCACCTCTGGCCTGGTTGATTTGGAAATGAGCCCCTCATCTCCAGGTCTGCCAGGAGCTGCCCAACGTGGTATTCCAACTGGCCCCTGGTCTCCACACCCCCTCGGTGCTCTGTGCAGCCTTCGCATTCTGCTCCTCTCAGGACTCCAGAGCACAGACTGCCAACCAAAGCTTGGCCCCATGTCAGGGCCCATTTCCCTCCAGGTCCTAGGCTCTCACTGGTTCCAGCTCATGAGCTGAATTCCTCACCGTTCTTTAGCTAGACTCTCCTTTCCCTAGTTTAGTCTCCATTCCTTTAGGTTCCTGAGGATCCCTTGGACCCCATATCTTGACCTCTCCTTTGGTACAGACACCCTCAGCTCACCTTCCTCACCCCCAGCTTCCTGGAACTCCACTTGCTCCCTCTCTCTAGGATTTCTGTATCATCTCTGACCCCTGGGCCTAGATACTACACAACTTCTTGTTACTCACTCCTGCTTCACCTGCCTGTGGTGGTTCTGACCCCAGTGCCCAAGTCATCTTAAATTCCCTTGTCTCTTCCTAGCCCTATAGCTGCATCTGTTATTTCAGAACTTTCTGGCCTCTAGTTTCTCTTCTAGCCTGGTGCCTCTGGTACCCCTGGTGCCCCCAAATCAAAACCTAATTTTCTGGCTGCTCTCTCCTCTGCGTAGGATGGGACAGTCGCCGCGCGGCTAATAAAGCTCTCTTAATTTGAACCCCCCCCAAAAAAAACAACTACTTTTCTCATTAAGGAGCCCCCCTCCAGTCCTCCTAGTCCCTTCATCTCTGAGGGGTCTGCCTCAGTTCTTTTAGATTGTCCTCTGCTGTTAGACCATCTCAAGCCCAACCTGAGACCTCTGACCCACCTCCTCCCCCCAAGCCCCTGCCAGGCCTTTGAAGATCTTCAAGCTCTGGAGACTTGTCCACTTCCTCTCAGATCCCTCCTACCCACAAAGTTATGTTGTTTCTGTTCAGAACAGTTGTTGTCAACCCAGGGGTCATTGGGTGATGTCTTTATGATTGTCACACTGGGAGTGCTCCTGGCTTAGAGTGGGTGGGGGCCAGGAATATTGCTCATCAACTCACAGTGCCCAGGACAACCCCACACAGAGAGCGACCTGGCCTCAGTTATCCAGCCCCAGTGCTGAGGGGAGAAACAGTGCTGAGGGGTTTCAGTGATGGTTCTGAACCCGAAGCGTCAGGTTCCAGAGGGGTAGGGGTGGGGGACTAGGAGCCCCTAATGTTGTGGGCACGTTTCTATGCATTGATATTCTCCTGGAGGAAGGTCTTTATCAGTGCTGTGCAGTGGAACTTTCTGTGACTATCGATGGGTTCTGTGTTTTCACTGATACAGGAGCCACCAGGAACAGGTGGACACTGGGCACTTGAGATGTGGCTCATGCAACAGAATAAGGTGATTTTTAGCATTGTTTAATTGTAATAAAGTCAAACAGTCAATGTGGCTAATGGCTGCCATCCTGGAAAAAAAAAAAAGGAAGAAAATAACAAACATATATGTTTATGCAATTAGAGGAAACCTATTTAACGGTAGTCACAGAAGATCTCTCTGAGCTAGTAACATGGAAGCTGAGAGTTCAAGAATGAGAAGTAAGAGAAGATGAAGAAATCAGCCAAAGAATACATAGCCCATGGATAAGGACAATAGTGTGGTGAAGGCCAGGGGAGGGGGCTGGGACTGGGTGGAGGTGGGCAAAGGAAGGGAGAAAATGGGGGACATCTGTAATAGTGTAAACAATAAGTAAAATAATAATAATAAAGAATGAGAGAACTTCTGGTCAAGATGGCGGTGTAAGTAAACGCGGTATCGTGCCCTCCCACAACCACATCAAAGTTACAACTAAACTACAGAACAACCATCATTCAAAACCACCTGAAATCAAGCTGAATGGAAGTCCTACAACTACGGAATTACAGCAGCAGCCACATCCAGACTGGTAAGAGGGGCGGAGGCGGGAGGGGCGGCGCGGTGGGCTGGTCCCACACCCACGTGTGGCAGATAAAAATCAGGAGGACACCTCAGCTGGGAAGGTCCTTCCTGAGGACTGAGGGGTCCCCGTCCCACACCAGGTGCCCCGCTCAGGGTTCCAGTGCCAGGAAGAGAATTCCCCATAACTTCTGGCTGGAAAAACCAGTGGGAACTAAGGCTCAGGGAAGCTGAGGCGGCTGGATACTCAGGCAGCTCCTTAAAGGGTCCGCGCACAAACTTATTGGACTCTCTCCCTCTAAGCTTGGAGGGGAGGCAGCTTGAGGGGCACCAGAGACATATAGGGAAGAACTGAGCTGTTTGGCACTGGAGCGAGGGCTGGAGAGGGGGCTTTCTCCAGGACAAACGTGCTGTCAGAGGCCTTTGTTCCTTTGGTGAGCCCTTCCCTGGGGCGGCAGACAGAAGCCACATCTGGGACTCCAGCAACCTGGATCACACTGGCAGCTCCGCCCTGGTGACTCCCTGAGGCCCTGCCCCGCCCCACCCAACTATCAGGCCCACCCAAGCTTTTGCCACTTGCTTCTCCATAGGATTGGCCTGTCTTGGATCCTGCTTCAGGTTTTTCCTAAATTCTTTCAATCGAGCAGCATCTGGTCTCAGGTAGCCCCATACCGCTTGTTAAGTAATACACTGAAACAAACACAGGGAGGCAGCCAAAATGAGGAGACAAAGAAACAGGTCTCAAATAAAGGAACAGAACAAAACCCCAGGAAAAGAACTAAGTGAAATAGAGATAAGCAGCCCTGGCCAGTTTGGCTCAGCCGTTAGAGCGTCGACCTGCGGTCCGGAGAGACCTGGGTTCGGTTCCCGCTAAGGGCACATACTTCGGTTGCAGTTTGTCCCCAGCCCTGGTTGGTCGTGCGGGTGGCAGCCACTCGATGTGTCCCTTTCACGTTGATGTTTCTCTCTCTCTCTCTTCCTCTCTCTCACTCCCACTCTATCTGTACAAAAGATAGAAAAATGTCCTCGGGTGAGGATTAAAAAAAAAAAATAGAGATAAGCAACCTAACAGAAGCTGAGTTCAAAATACTGCTTATAAGGATGCTTAATGAACTTAGTGAGAACCTTAGTGAACTTAGTGAGGGCCGCAAGAGCATAAAAAAGGACCAGTCAGAAATAAAGGAGGCACTAACTAAAATAAAGAATAGTTTACACAGATTCAATAGTAGAGTAGGAAAGCCAAGAAGCAAACCATCGATTTGGAATATAAGGAAGCAAAAAACGCTCAATCAGAACAGCAAAAAGAAAAAAGAATCCAAAAAAAATGAGGATAGTGTAAGGAGCCTCTGGGACAATTTCTACCGTGCCAACGTTCTCATCTTGGGGGTGCCAGAAGGAGAAGAGCGAGAACAAGAAATCGAAAACCAGCCCTGGCCGGTTTGGCTCAGCGGTTAGAGCATCGGCCTGCGGTCCGGAGAGACCCGGGTTCAGTTCCC